GTGTGCGCGTGCCCAAGAGGATGACGAAGTTTGAAAATGGAATACAGATCTGTAGATTCTCTAGTTTGTTTGGTGTAATTACACACAGGTTTCAGTATTTGATCATCTGTGTTATATTTCAATTTAAGATTGTAACAAATACTGTCCTCACCCGACTTCTATAATAAGTAAACTCATTACATCTTTTTGCTTTACCATCTAATAAACTCACTTCTGCTTTAGCACACAATTTTCTGTATAATTTTGCTTACTGTGTTCTGTAACAATTTTGATTATTTTCACTATATGCTACAGTTTCTGCAATAAAACAGCCACTTCCTGAAATGTGCAGTTATCTTTTCACCTACTTATACCTATTTGTTTATAATCTATTTATTAGAGGACATGCAGGGGCCAAGAGTATCTTACTTTCAGTTTATGACATACCTGTGTGCCAAGTGTAGGCAGTCGTGTAATCATATTTGATAGTTTGATCGGTAATCATTCTGCCATGGCTCTGTACAGCAGTGAGTCATTAAGCAGGCTTGACCGGGCTTAAGCAACCAGTAGTGAGGAGTGACAAATCAGTGAAACCAGACCTTCAGTTTGCCATTCCCCAGAGAGGTTTAGACAGGATAAATATAACTCAGAAATCCCAGCTAAGCAAGAGCTGTTCCTCAGCCAAACAATCAATCAGAGACAACTTAAGTGAAAGTAGAAAGTAAATCGAGAGTTGCTGGTTAATGGCATGAGGGTTTCTTGATGGATTAAATTTCTTAAGACAGATATTAGTGGGTGCAATTATTATAATCCATTAATCTTTTGATCTCTTAAAATTTATGAGAATTGTGAAAGGGATGTAAAATAGCTTTTAACAGTATACTTAAAAAAATATTTATCTTGAAGGCAAATAAATCCTGACATTTGAGAAGATGAAACAAGTAATGATTGACATTTTTTAGTTGGAATAATTGGATATTTAATTGGTTAATTAATTGTCTCAGTTAACAATTTCTCTTTCTTGTAATCAGTGCTTGAGAAAAATGAATTACATTTGCCGAGAATATACTCTCTCCTCCTGGGAAATATAAATGATCACAGATAACAATGGGGTAAAATCCCTTATTAAAAGTGAAATGAGAAAGATTACAGTTGTTGTATTAAACTCCCCTGTTGTTGACATTCCTCTACATTGTTTGGGGGGGGGAAACTTTGATTTGACGCATTAACCTATGGGCTGTCCCTGCGAGTAGGGGGGGTAGGTAAACAAGATGGCGACAACCTGAGAAGCAAGAGTAACACGAAGAGTCAGGGGAAAAAATATATCACTGAGATTTTGTCAGATTAAAGTTAAATAATTTATTCACTGGGGACGGACTCACAACAGAGGACAAACCCTGCAGCGAAAAGGAGGTTCATTTGGATCTAGGTGAGACCCGGTACCGGGAGTTAGTTAGCTTGTTAACCAGCTAGCTCGCTATTTACATTGGCATCCAACGCAACTCCGGTTAGCTTGCGTTAGCTGAATTTATCTGGTGCGTTTCTTCTGAGTGTAGAAGATGTTGAAGATTGTGTCTCTGCTGTCGGCTCGGCGTAATGCTTTGTCTTTAGAGAACAATGTGTGTCCCCATTATTGCCTCCGCTTCCACCGGTAAAGGAGGTGAAGTTGGCTAACGCTAAATACAAACGTCAGGCAAAGTTGGCTAGCTAGTACTGGAGGTGCACAGCCACCGTTAGCTCCAGCTGGATGACGACGTTTCGGTTATCCCCCACCTACCAGCTGTTCTCTGTCAGTTCACTGTCAAATTAAATTGCTATCTGTTGTTTTTAAGCATGTCTCTGAGATGAAACCTACTGTGCTTGCTGAATGTGTGCTTACCGACGGACCGCAAAGTGGCATTTCAGGCTAGTTCATTCAAGCAGACTTGCTGCACTAGCTTACCAGCTAGCCAACAGTTGACACTTAAAATATTTATTCCGGCTTAAGAACTTGTAAGCTACAATCCTTACATATATGAGGTTGTTATGTTTGCATATAGAAAGAATAACCTGGTGAGTTTTGTTTTGTTTTTTGACCACGGGATTTCAAGGTGGTTAGGTGTTGATGTGTTGTCGATTGTTTACCAAAGATGGCTAACTTATGTGTATGTTTTTATTAATGTTTAAATTATTCATATTTTCAGGTACCGGGCAGTAAAAACCGCGGTGACATGGAGGACACCTGAGGACAGTTCAACACATTGGACATTGGAGTCGATCTCCAGGAGCCCCACTGATAGCAGAGATTGGACTGAAACTGCTGCATGTTCTGACTGTAGATCTGTGCTTGGATCCAATCCAGCTGTAAACACTTATGTACTCTGAGAAAACTCTGATATCCAGCATGGTCCCTTGACAGAAATGCCGTGCTGCATGGCCTTGAATCAAGACTGGTTACCTCTGCTTAAGACTGTAGGGTATTAATTCTGAGGTGATTGGTGAAAGAGAAGAAAAACGTTGTAGTATCGCTTTTTCTTTTTTTCAGTTTTCTGTTCAACCGTACTTGTTGTAGATGTAGTTAAAAATGCACAGTATAAAGCACTAACTCTGTACTGGACTCCAAGGGTTTTTAGCCCCTTTTTGCCCCTCTTGAGTGAAAAAGTTTACAAATTGGGCTTGATCACCCACCTCTTCCCCTTAACTCTCAGGCCTGATTACTCCCTCTCCAATGTTCAGTATTTTGTAACTCATCTTGCAGAATTAAAATACTCACCTCTGTGCTGAAAAGTTACCAGTGGGTTACTTCACAGCAGCAGTCATAGCTATTTGCAAACCGTTTCCTTCACTGGAAGTACAAGCTGTCAATCATGAGTGCCAGCGAGTTGCCTCACCTGTCTGACTATCTAAATGAAAATGAACTGATGGAGATGGATACTTTTATTCACCGCATTGACTCTACAGAGGTGATCTACCAGCCTCGGAGGAAGAGGGCAAAGCTGATAGGAAAGTACTTGATGGGGGATCTACTCGGGGAAGGATCTTATGGCAAGGTGAAAGAAATGCTGGACTCAGAGACTCTTTGTCGCAGGGCTGTCAAGATACTGAAGAAGAAGAAGCTTAGGAGGATTCCCAATGGAGAAGCCAATGTGAAAAAGTGAGTGTTTCCCAATTTGTGTTTTATCTTGTTTCACATCTTGAAAGGTCTTTTTAGTTGGTTGTACTAGGTAAAACTAGGTGGCATGCCTGCAGTGTATGATCAAAATATAATTAATTTTAGTCACTACACAGAAAATTAATTTAGCCTGCCAACAGTAAAATCAGTTTCTTATGAGTTTTAATGTGTGCCATAGCCTTTAAAAAAAATGCAGCTCCCTTTCCGAAACATGTACAACTCCTAATTTGTATTTTTAAAATGTAAAAAAACCTGATACTGTACTTGAAACCTACCGATCATAACTGATAAGGGGAAAAGGCAGACACAAAGCCTTAGTTTCAATCCAAACACCAGAATACTGTAATATGTTTGAGACATTTAATTTCAATACACACTGTTATTTTTCTCACTTAACAAAGCCAAACCTGTCCAGCAATTGACATAGCAAAGATAATTTTACATAGTCAGCATCACTCTCGAGTCCTGAGAGTGAGGTTGTGCTTGTGCAGCCATTGAAATGTAAGAGTTGTTGATCATTGCGGTGGGTAATCCATCTGTCATTTATATGAACAAAGTCAATAAGAGTAGAATTATATCGGTAATATCAATTGCATTTGTGTCGCTGCATAGTGGTAACTCCCAGTCAAAGCTGGCGCACACACACATATGCCAAACACCATCCATAGATGCAAGGCCAACTTGCAGATCTGGCCTAAATGATGACATTCTACACCTAGCCATAAAAAAGAGAAGAGTGATTGATTAGCGATGCACAAATGTGTGGATCTGTTTTTATCTAATAGGAAATAAACTGCAGGAAATGGTTGTGTATTTTGCTAAAATGTGAAGGAGACAGCGAAAGGCTGCATGAGGATGCTGCATTCAGCGATTTTTAGATGCACATCAATAGGTCATTGTCAGCTTTTTGCAGTAGTAACATAAACATGAAACCTGATTACTTTCATCAACGTACTCTGTTAATGCTTAGTTTTTTGTTCGCGATCCCCCCTGTGATGGGGAAAAAAACAGTGTCTTCAGCTCAGATCTTCACTTATCCAATTGATAAGGCGGTTATTTAATTCCAATGCATCTACACAACATGCACAGAGGAAAAGAATATGTCATCAAATATTACTTATACAAACCAGTAACGTGTTTTGTTTTTGTTTGTGAGTAGTAGATGGTTTTCTAGTAACTGTGTAATTGTTTTATGTTCTTGGGGCTCTGTTTCCTTTGTCTCACTGCCTCTTTGATTTAGCTGTCATGTCTGTGTATTCTTTTTTCTTTTCTTTTTTTCTTTTTTTGCATCCCACATTTCTTGATGAGCATCGGTAGTTTTAATCACAGCAGTATTATTAAATATCACTCCAGCCTTTCGCCTTGGGCCTGTGCTAATTATAGAGTAAGCCTTAGAAAACTGTCAGAGCAAGTTCACCCAGAAAGAAAGAAGCTGCAAGATAATGTGGGGGTTTTTTTTGTTTGTTTGTTTGGTTTTTTTTTGTTTTGTTTTTTTTTTTTTAGGCCAAAGTCACAACAGCAACAGAGCAATGAAAAGCCCGTAAGCTCAGTTAGAATCATTTTGTTGGTATTGCAATGCCGTGTTTTATCTAACTTAAACAAATTTTGTCCTAGAAAACTGTGCTTTATAATCTAAAACTGCATTTTAGAGCCTTGCAGCAGCTGTAGTCTCAGCTGTTAGTATCTGCACTGGCTCTGTTCACTCGTAGTGCTGCCTTTGCACTAAGATGCAGTTTGAGAATGCAATTAGCTCAATTCACCATTTATCACTGTTCATCTCAATGTTGTTAATACTTGTTTATTTCTGCTCGATTTTTATTTATTATTTTGCACTGTTGAGTCTTCGATGATATGAGTGGGAATATTTGACAACACCACTAAGACAAAGTCTGTTTTAATGTCAGCAGAGAACCAGAAAACAATAAATTAGCATTCCCTACCCCATTACTGGCTCTGGGGTGTAGTGTTGGTAATTAGCGCTTGTGACTTGTAATCAAAGTACAACAAATTAAATACACCTACAAATGCAAAGTCCAGTTACTGGTGTTGATTTTCTGGAGGAAGAAAATCATCATAAAAAAGTATTGTGTGCAAATCTTCAGTGTTACGTAAAAGGCCCGATAAGGAAAATGTTACAAGAGCGTTTTAGAGTTTCAGTATCTCACTAGGGTAAGGGATAAAAAGGAAGTCCTTGTGTAAAGGTCACTAAGTCAATGATGGCTGGGGGAAAAAACAAAACAAAACACACAAGCTGACCAGAAGTGACGGTAGAGGTTAAAATGAAAATGCAAAATGAGAAATCCTTAGAAAACCAACTGTTGGCAAAATAAATGTAACTTGTGAGACATTTATTTTCTACTAAGACACTGACTCATTTTTTAAGTTTTAATTTTTTTGAGTGGTCACGTCCAGGCCTGAGTCCAGTCCCAAGTCTGTGGCCTGTCTCCCCTGATAAACTTTGAAAAGTTTGTTCAAAGCAGAATGGTGAAAACCGGTTTGTCCACATGTGCAAATCTTATAAAAATAGATACACAGTCAGTACTTTGTAACATCTTCTCAGGCTAGTATTACAACTTAAAGTTTTTTGGGGTTTTTTGAGTGTTTAGAATGCTGTTAGAGAGATTTTTGCAAAATTTTCCTGCAAAAGGCTTCCAGTTATGTGAGATTTATCAGCTTTCTTGCATGCAGAGTTAGTTTAATATCCATGCTTGTTTTGTTTTGCAGGGTTTGTTTTTGTTTTGTTTTGGTTTTTTTGGGCATCTGTGAGCACCATGTCCAAACCTTAATCTTGCAGTTCCTGTTGTAATCCACGGTGTATTTTAAGGTCTCCCCTATTTATCTTCAGCTGTCTTATATATGGTGTGTTGTTTCCTTCTAGAAGTTTGGCGGTATTTCATAGAATTCATTGTTTTTATTGCCAGGAAAATATTCTCCATGGCCATCGTCTGCCACCAAACTAAGCAGTGGGTGAAGGGTTCGTGTCATAAAAATGTTCAGCGCTTTTCCTCCACAAGTACCTTTGCCCTTTGCACTACAAACGGTCTGGTTTAACTTCATCAGTTCACAGGACTTGTTTCCAAAATACATCAGGCTTGTTTATTTCATTTTCAAACTTCTGCTGAGTTTCATGTTGAGGTCACAGGAAATGTTTTCTTTTGATGACTCTTCCATGAAGGTCACATTTGTTCAAGTACACCACTACTTTATCTAGGTTTTCTGAAGGTCTAACGCAGCTTTTGATTAGCCTAACTAGCAATCCTACAATAAGTTGTTTTTAAGCGTTTTCTTGGTCTTTCAGATCTTTCCTCTTTCTGAGGTGTTTGTTTTGTGACCATGCAGACTTGTCAGCTGGGAGTTTTCATTACAATGCACAGACTAAATGGTAAATGGCCTGTATTTGTATAGCGCTTTACTAGTCCCTAAGGACCCCAAAGCGCTTTAACACATCCAGTCATCCATCCATTCACACACACATTTACACACTGGTGATGGCAAGCTACATTGTAGCCACAGCCACCCTGGGACGCACTGACAGAGGCGAGGCTGCCGGACACTGGCGCCACCGGGCCCTCTGACCACCACCAGTAGGCAACGGGTGACGACCGAGACTGTCCAAGCCGTGGCTCGAACCGGCAACGTTCCGATTACAAGGCGAACTCCCAACTCTTGAGCCACGAGCGCCCCAGGCAGTGGACCTAAAGGAAACTTAAAAAGAAGTATGAGCCATCAGCTGTCAGGTCTTCAGCTGTCTGTGTCCAGATTAGAGTATATTCTGGACCTAAATGTGAACAAGTAATACCCCTGGCATGCTAATTAAGCTCATAGACCTTGGTAAAAGTTATCCAAGAGCTAAGATCTGTTAAAATGCCTAAACTCTTGCACCACATTCTTTTTTTAGATAAATAGTTAGATCCTTTATTAATTATTTGCAGGAAATTACACAGCAGCTTCTACACAAACCTAAGTCTATACATACAACAGCTAAACGATGTGAATTCCTTATAAAGGGTTTGTAGTTACGCAGTTTGGTTCACACAGAATTTTTCTGTGTGTGAAACCAAACCACAAGGAAAAGCTACAGTTTACAAGCTCATCAACTGTTTGAGACCAGAGTAAACAAGCTATAGGTGTGAAAACACCCTTAATGACATGTGAGGGGGCCATTACAGGTCTGTAGTCATTGTGGTTGGTGAGATGACTTTTTGGAACGGGAACCAAGCAAGGCATTTTCCACAGCCTTGAGAGCTTCAGATTGAACAGGTGTGTTAGAATATCACACAGCTTCACGAAGCAGGTCTTCATCAGTCTCAACTGCTTTCTTTGCATGCTGGGGTATCTTTTCCTGAGTTACAAGGTAGCTCATCCAAAGCCAGTTCTCACTTTCTTATTTTAGATTTCTTTGGTTATATTTATAGGCTGCAATAGTACATGGTTCTGTCACTTTGTTAATGGGCCATAGCAGTGTCTCTTGATGTGTGAAATTGTTTTCCCTTTGTTTTTTCCCCCTTGTACTTTTTCTTCTTGTACACCCCTCCCACTTGGTGTTTGACTTACGTTTTCCAGCCTTAGGAAGCTGTATTCCCGAGTCTGTGAAAGCCTGTCTGTGCTTGGGTGTCATAGTAGCCCCCAGCCTCTCTATTCAGCCACTGTTGAGCATTCCTGTGTGCCTAACACTTCCTGCTTTTAAAGTGTTGCTATAGGGACAAGCATGCTTATGCTTGCTTTGATTGAGCAATGCTACTTCTGTTCCTATGGTAACACGCCAAGAATGCCCTTCCCACGTTTGGAATGACAGGCTCACACACACACGGGCACGCACAGTGGAGATGCAGATTTTGATCAGCTGTTTATGTTGGTGCTGTGTGCCTGAGTCACTGCCATATCACTAAGCTCTACGGATTGCAGGCCTCGAATGCACGAGGTCCATCATTTGAACTCAGACTGTGGATGGACTGCAGCAGTCAGTGTGCCTTAAGCAACAGCCCTGCCTCCATTTCATGATTCACTTTTTATGGAAATGAGCTCTGTTATTAATGCACTGTGATTTCCTACAGTTCACACATCATCTGTACATCATTTAGTAACCAGTTTCAGACTCAATATTTTAATGTTGCTCTGTTCTACATGTGGGTGAGCTTTGTAGTCTTTCTGCCAGTGCAGTGATGCAGCAGTAACCGCTTGTGTGTCTGTGTGTGAAAGCGAGAGGCTGACTAGCCCCTGAATATCCATTTGTCAGTAGGGGGGGTTGTGTTTAAGACGAAGGACTGACGCAGCTCATACACTGCAGGGTGACGACGGCCAGAAAAGCTCTGAAGTGTGTATTTTGTGAGAGCACAGATGATGTCTCAGCTCTGAAGGGACTGAAGAGTTTTATTTATTTTAGGCAGCCCTCCTTTATGGCTTTGACTTGTTGTTGTGTGATGCAGTAAATCACATTTAGTATCAAGAGAAGCAGGCGTAGAATCTTATTCAACAATCAAAACCTTTTTTTTTTTTTTTACCCTGTTTACCTCTACTGCATTATGAAACATAAATGGCAGTTAAACAAACCAGTCTTCACTATATATGACAAAATATTACAGAGAAGTAAGCAGCATTTCATTCATAGTTATGCTAACTGCTTTGAATTATAACCAATACAAGTTGTCTTGTTATGAGTGCAAATAATATATCGTGATGCTCAGCTAAATGTGCAAAAATACAAAATGATACTTGATTTTAGATTCCTTCCTGTAATTGTAAAGCAAGCCCTCAATATTTCCTGTGTGATCATCTGGATATTACTCCTGGAAAATCTGTGGTTTGTGCTTTTTTCCCCTCTTACGATCCAGATTCATTAGCGTTCCCTTTCATGGCTTGCTGATTAATGTTCAGTCTCCAGGGGTTTTGCCATGCTGGTGATTTGAACATCTCCTCTTTGGGCAGCGAAGTAAACTGTCAGGTTATCTGTCTTTATAGTAAGAATGGAGTTGCTACTGCTGCACTGTTTTTGGTGGGTGCATATTTGTTAGGGTCTCATTAACAAACAATCGAACAGTATGACACATGTCAGAATTTAACAATCCATTGTTTAGCAGGCACTAATAGTTTGGAAATTATAGAAATTTTCATTATTTTTATTATTCATTTTATTCATAATCCCAGTACAGCTGGTGCTGGTGCTTCAGCCTATACTGAGCATTGTAAATATCAGGGCTTTAGCCGCTCTGCTGGGCAAACTGTGATGACAGCAACTCTATATTTCACCAAGTGTCCTTTTCTGCATGGTGTTCTGTTAAAGTTAGTAGCAGCAAATGTCAGACAGCACTGTTACCCATGACCATCAGAAGCCAGTTTCAGCTGATAACATGAAGTCTGTTAATATAGTGTCCTTGCAACTCTGCTCATCCTCTTCTATTAGTCAGTCTTAAATGTGTTTTCTCTTAATTCAATGTACTGACTTTGTTTTTCATTAAGAACTAAATCACATGATGAATTTAAATTTGACTGTCTGTATAGAGTAACTCATAAACCTGTTACGCATTATGTAGTGAAACAACTAGATTTTTTACCAGTTCTCGCATTGTTTAGCAGGTTATTAGAAAGTAATGAAACTAATAATACACTGGTGGCATACCATGCCATGTACAGTCACTTACTGAAGCCAGTGTGCAGATGTACGGTACCCAGCCTTTAACCTACATTATGCAGCTAACATGGCCCAGTAGAAAATGATACTAGTAGAAAATGTCTCTCATTAAGTAAGCAAGTGGATGCATTTTCATGTCTTTTCTCTGTATGTTCATTTATAGGGAGATTCAGCTGCTAAGAAGACTCCAACACAAGAATGTGATTCAGTTGGTGGACGTTCTTTACAATGAAGAGAAGCAGAAAATATATCTTTTACCTACTGAATAAGCATATGTTGATTTTTGACATTAATTATTATAGACGGTCTATTTTACCGTTGGTTCTTTCTGTACCCAAGTTCTATTTATGTTCTGCACTTTTCCCGATTTATAGTTGGTTCGTAATTGTAAAAAAATGTGTTTGTTTGGTAAATTCTCTTGACTCCTGACTTACGTATATGGTGATGGAGTATTGCGTTTGTGGGATGCAAGAAATGCTGGATAGCGTCCCAGAGAAAAGGTTTCCAGTATTTCAAGCTCACGGGTAAGTCTTCCTCTTACTTCTCCTCTCTGCCCCCTCTATCCCTGAGTCTCTCTGCTATATTTAGTCTGAGCCTCTCTGCAGCCGCTGCTCCAAACCTAAGTTTAGATCGGCGACTTCAGGGCCTCTACTGTTAAAATTACTGACTGTAGACTGTGTGAATGTCGGGTCACTGCTGGAAAGCCGCTGAAGCAAAATGTGATGCACCTTTATCTAACCACAGAAATATTTTATTTTTTAAGTTTCTTCTACTGTGATTGACTTTGACTGGTTTTAAATGTGTCCATAAATTTCCTCTGGTTGATGCTTCTTGTAGGTACTTTTGCCAACTCTTAGATGGCCTTGAATATTTGCACAGCCAGGGAATAGTTCACAAAGACATTAAACCAGGGAATCTGCTGCTGACCACAGACGGCTCGCTTAAAATCTCCGACCTGGGAGTAGCAGAGGTAAGCATCGCCTGCCAGAGTTCCGTAAACTCTCTGAATTCTTACTCTTGATTAGAAGAAAAGGGCTGGCATTTCTTTGTATAGACTTTGTGTATGACTTTAATTCCTTGTGCTTGTGTTTGTTCCTTATGTTGGTGCTTTAAAGGTGTTAAGTTTATAATTATTTGCATTGAAATGCATACAGGAACAAAAAATAATCTATTTATTACTTGCTGTTTTTCCTCAGGCCCTTCACCCATTTGCAGAGGATGACACGTGTCGTACTAGTCAGGGCTCTCCAGCCTTTCAGCCTCCAGAAATTGCCAATGGACTGGACACCTTTTCAGGGTTTAAAGTGGACATTTGGTCTGCTGGAGTAACACTGTGAGCGGCACTCTGCGTACTTGTCATGCATTTATCCACATAAAGCTCTAAATTCTGTCCTTGACTCTTCTTGACTCTTGCTTCCTTTCAATCAGATACAACATTACAACAAGTCTGTATCCATTTGAGGGGGACAACATCTATAAGCTATTTGAGAACATTGGAAAAGGAGAGTACACTATTCCTGAGGAGTGTGGACCTCTTCTGTCGGACCTGCTGCGAGGTTGGTGTTGTTCGCAGCCAAAGTGTTTATATTTTCTGCATGAATTTTGGCATTTTGTTTTGCCAATTCAGTGGTCTGTCGCCTCCTTGCAAATGCTGAACAGCACCTGAGAGTGGTGTTTCATTCCCTGTGTGCACACAGATTTAAAAAAAAAAAAAAGAAGTGAAAAGTCAGCATTGAGTGTTTGTTGGACTGGAGATATTACCATATTCACAGCTATTGATAGGTGTTCTTAGTATTTTAGAGGTGCCAATATACAGTGCCTATCAAAAAGAATAATTGATTTCGAACTGCTTTAATTCTGCAGCTTTTCACCGGTAACAATCGAAACATGTACTGTTAGAAAGATTTGGGTTTGTAAGTTTCACTTGTTCACCTGCAGGTAGCATAACGGCAACAGTGGCTGCAGTGACTCCAATATGCTTGTAAAAGTATGGGACGAATTTGACCATCATATGTATATGTGCCGAGTGCACGGGAAGCTTCTATGTACATGTACTTCAAAAATATATATATAACCTTTTTAATGTACCTTGTTTACTGATTCCTATGAAGACCCTCTTATTCTCAATAATCTGTGGCTTTACGATGAAGTGGTTAACACATGAAAGATCCCTTATTTGAGCTCAGGAGGAGATGCAGACCAGTGTACTCTCTGTGCCAGACCCAAGCCCGGATAAATAGAGATTGCTTTAGGAAGAGCATCCAGTGTAAAAACGGTGCCAAATCCAATGCATGGATCCAACCATTTTTGACCATTTGAGACATGTAGGAGAAGCTGCAAAGTAAAGATACAAAACTGGCTGTTACTTATGACACATTGAGTTTGCTATAGATGTTTGTTTAAAATCTCAGATAGTGTGCCCCCTTCTAAAATTAAAATTACTTGCAGCTGTTGAACGTCATCACAAAACCGAAACTAACCACCTAGCAGTCAGGTGTTTTGCTGTAACCGCTGTCCACTGAGGACAACCAGATGGTTTGCAAGATGAGGCATGCATCAGGTTTATATATTATTTTGTTTCTTAGGTTGCTTCCCTCCTTATACAAAACTACATTGTTTGTTTTCTATACATTATCTTAGATTTAGCTCAATTTTCATGAAATGCAAAATGAGTCACACTTTAAAAAACTGACATTTATTTTCAGTCCTTTATGCCTGTCAGTCTTTAGGTGTAGGCTGAAATAAAAGGCAGTGGATTTATAGTTCAGGGCACAATTAATCCATTAAAGATCACAGCGTTAACAGTAGATGTTTTTGTCATGCTTATTAATCATATATGAAAACATCCTCTAGACTGCTAGGATTGGTGAACAGGAGAATATAGGATAGAAAAACCAGCAGTCTAGTGGGTAATAAATCACTCAAATGTCAAGCAGTTTCACTGTGATCTTTTCTGTGTGCACCCAGTAGGTGGTGCTGTGACACTGGAAGTCACTGTGGCTTCTCAGCATGCCAGGCTTCCACCAAACTGTAGAAATCCCTCCAGCTGTTGACGTAGTTTCCATTGATCTGGAGCCAGCAGCAGAATACTAAGCACTTCACAGTCAGGCATTGCTTTTCCCGAGTGAAATACTGCAATGCTTTTGCCCCTTTGTTTAAAAAAAAAAGTCAAGAGTCCTTCAGTTAAAAACAAATAATTTTTTTAAAAAAAGAAGAAAGAAAGGAGAGGGAAAAAAGAAGGAACAGAAAATGAATCGATTACAAGAGCCCAAACTCACTGCCTATAAAATCCAAGAACAATGTTGGGAAGATTATGTTTGTACTAACTAATGAAATCCTTCAATGAAGGCTGAATGCTAAGTTGTATTTCAGCATATTATCCAGCTTTGCTCTCTTTGTCCTTTTATGGAAATAAAAGCACCGGGTACTGGAATAAGTGCTGGGGCTTATACCTGTAAAATGATTCTGGGTCAAATGGAGGCAATTTAAACATTTTTTTTCTGTCAAAAGGAATCAAATGTTTAACAATGAAGAGAAAAAAGAACTCCCTGATTTTTGTTTCTTCTGAAAAACATACTGGGCTTCAGTCCCCCGTCGTCGGTATGACGTCTGTGTGTGTGATGACGCAGCACCTGAGAAATAGTCGGTCCATAATTACATCGCCTAAAATAAGCCACGAAAAGGTGTCTTTCAGCCAGCGCAGCACTACTATCAGCACTCTGCACACTCCTGTTTTCTGCCTACTAGGAAACAATTACATTAGTAGGAGAGGCACTGCATCACTTCTACTCTATCACACTGACACTGCGCTTTTCCCACAGATTCAGCCCACATTGTGATAATTGAGATATAAAATCTTCATTGCATTGTTACAGCTGTTGCTCAGTCCTTTTTTTTCCCTCTCTCTCTACTGTACTTCATTGACTTCTTAAGCTATGCAGGATGCTTTGACATACAATGATTAATAAGATTATCACTTTCATTAATTGATGTTCTTGAATGAGGTTGCTGTCTGGCTGCTGTTCACCTTCCCCACATTGCTGTGGCCTCCCAGCAGTTTGTTAAATGCTCCATGGAAACAGATGTGAGTGGAGGAAATTGTTCAGGATCATCGTGATTAAATTCGCCTTGACATTGTGTTTGTGTTTTGTTCTTCTTTCTCCTCCCCCCCCCCCCATCTAGGCATGCTTGAGTACGATCCTGTGAAGAGGTTTTCCATACAAAACATAAGGCAACACAAGTGAGTATTTTGATTGTATTTCTGTGACTAAGCATAAGAATTATCAGGTGTTTGGAAAATTATACTCTACACTAAAAATAAAAGACGGATCTGTTATATACATGCCCTTTCCCCCCCACCATCCGTCCTCTTTTTAACCCTACCAGCTGGGTGCGGAAGAAACACCCTCCATCTGAGCCTCCTGTACCCATCCCTGCCAGCGCAGAGAGCAGGGACCCTTGGCGGAGTATGACGGTGGTGCCCTATCTAGAAGATCTGCATGGCTACACAGAGGAGGATGATGATGAGCTCTATGATGGGGAGGATGAGATCATATACACTCAGGACTTCACAGTGCCAGGTAAGAGTGGGCTTAGATAATTCTTATGATTTGAGTTGGGTACTGTCAATAAGCAGATATGCTATATGCAGAATCTGTCGGCAAGGAAAGGTTTTTGGTTGTCTTAGTTCTGTTTACAGTCATGTCTGAGCAGGCTTTGGTTGCATGCAGGGATACGGTCAATGTGAAGAGCAAAAAGGGGAAATGCATTTGCTGAAATCCGAGACAGTTTGCCCTAGGTTCACTGCTTTACTCCTCCATTTAGTTTTGTGTCATTGTTTTAGTTTGTTGTATTGAAGAAAATTGGACATTTCATAATTGTTACTCTGCCTCTACGAGGTGTAATTTAAACTCTGACACAAAATTACAGCTGAACTACTGAAAATTCACATGAGGACAGAGTGTCAGCCAGTACTCAGGCTTAAGATATCTGGGGTTTGTTAGCGTCTGTCTCTCTTTGGAGCACTTGTTGGGAAGCTTTTATTGCACTTGCTGTACGGTAATGAGGAGTTGTCTTCAGCCCAATTGATGCTTCTGTTCTTCCTCTTTCCTCTGCTGCTGGGTTCTGTGTTGTGCTCCACCACTCCTTCCTCTCTCTCACTCACACAGACACACACAGACACACACAGATAGACACACACACAGACACAGACAGAGCAGCAAAGAGAAATCAGGAAACTTCAAAATGTAATAAATACTTTCACATTGAACTGAAATTAAAGAAATGCACATAAATAACACAAAGTGAATGATTAATGAAAGAAATGAGTTTTCCTTCCTTCCTTTGGCTTTGAAGGTCAGTTAATGAAAATGGAAACACTGCAGTATCAAAACCATGGGTTTTGTTTACTTTTTTTAAAATTTGTATTTCCAAATAACTGCATAAAATTGGAAGTCTTAAATTTTCTCTGTAATGTCGATATCCAGGATACACAAGAAATTGGATGTTTCCTCCAGAGGTTAAGTAAGCAGAGTAGCTAATGCAATATGTGGAAAATGGTATTGGGCCAGAGCTCTTACTCCTTGCATTCAGGGGTTTTCAGTCCTATAGTCACATGTGTATAAAATCAAGCACCTAGCCTTTGTGCCTTTACAAACATTCAGAAAGAATGGGTTGTTTTAAAGATTTGTGTGGAAATGGTAAAATGGTATGGATAAGATATATTAGGTGATGTCCCGTGACTAAATAATTAATACTTAATCATCGCTGCTGTTTCCATCCCATCCACATAGAAATCGAAGTTCACATTAAGTCCTTGCCCTTTTAAAGTATTCAGTATCTTACAGCAGTTTGCAATTATCAGATACTGTTGGTTTTGATAAAGGCCTTACTGCTAATCTTTCCGTCCCATATTGCAAAGAATAAAACAGTCACGTCTTAATGTTACTAAAACTGAAGGCTTTGGGTTCAGTTTGAAGGTCAGCGCACAAATGATCAGATATGTGGTGTTTAATGTAGCTTGGTAATCACACATCATTTATTTCACTTCAATCATTCAGCCTGACATCGTGCTCATTTTTGGTGATTTCCTTTTGGGAGTGGCTGTGCAAATCAGTGAACTCAAATCGTGGAAGCTGCTGTCATTTCCTAGGATTTCCACACCGATTTAGGAATTGTGTGAGTCTCAGGGTTTTTATTTCTGTGCATTGTTTTATAACATTTTCTATCATGTTTCGTGGTTGTGGCCCTGTGCAGCTGCAGTGCAGTGTGAGTTCATGTTGTTTTAAAATGGTATGAATATGAATGGGACCAGACTTGACTACAAATTACCTGACACGACCTTGATGAAGACAAAACATGTTAAATACTCGTTAAAAGTTGTTGTTGTTACTGTTATTACTATTGTTGTTGTTGTTGTTGTTGTTGTTGTTGTCGTTATTATTATCATTATTATTATTCAGAGGAACTCAGTAGACAAACTGCCTATTAAAGGATCCTGAGTAGAGTGGAGGAAGAAGTAATTCTTTGGTATCCTTTTAACTTATTTTAGTCATAAAGTTAACAAAGTTAGGAAAGCAGCAGTTAAAAAAAATCATAAGTTAATAGACTTGCAATTCTTTGATTTCCTGTAAGCCTACATCCACACTTACGCATGTAGAAATGTGTGCCAGGCCTACAAATGATATCATGGTGTCCAGTTTGCCAAAAACAAAACAAATATAGGAGCACACCTTCTATGATGTAAGACAAAATGTTGATTTTACGAGCCAGTAGGAGCGAGTTTTCCCAAAGCTCTGTCTTAAGTGACCTCAAGCACCTTTTTTTTTTTTTATATGTAATGAAAGCTGAGTTTACCAGAATACCTGCGTATGACAGGACCTAAATGTGAGGGTTCATTGCTCGTCTGCTAATTTACCCCCCTTTTTTCTTTTTCTTTTCTTGTTTTTCGTTGTTTATGAAATCCCTGAATTGTAAACATTACTACATTTTGTGCTGTGCGTGATTCCCTTTTTCCTCCAGAAGTGAGACTTATGAAAAGTTCTTATAAAAGCCTTAAAATCTCTACGTCATACTGCTCTCATGCATTTTATACACTGACAGCATGATGGCTCTTTGCCCTCACGGTCTTTGCGGAAATGTGGACGTCTGGATCAGGCTTGTCCCAAAGGAACAGCACAGGTGTCTGGGTGACCAATTGATTGCACTTAGGCAAGGTCCTGGGACACAGTATGAACCTGAGGCATCTTAAATTCCCCATTTCCTCTCCATGCTGTGCCGAGTCATAATGTCTGCCATGAAATAAGGTTCAGAGGGCTGGAACAAGGTGCACTTAAATGATATGTGTACAAACTTTAACCCACTGTTGACAGGCTCTGGTAAGAGCAGATATTAACTGCATCTTTTCATTTGATTTAATTTGCACCCCGACTCTTCCTTTAACTCCCCCCCCCCGCCCCCCGAATTAAAATCCTTTATCTGTTGCTAGGCAACAGCCAGTAATAATAAATGCAGTAGTCGGTGTCGGATATCTAGAATTGGTGCCCCACATTAAAAAACCAAATGGAGCTGCAGAATGTGAATGAAGCGATCTAAAAATAATCCTGCTGAAATGGTTTCAGTGTGGGAGTCTGAATGGGTTTCCAGGATACACACACACGCACACACACACACACACACACACACACAAGCCCTCTCACTCACAGGAAGCTTCACAGTAATAAAATGTTGGCGTGTTTGGTAAATTAAATCACTCGTTTGACCTCTTCTCTCGTAATCAGTAAATATATATGTCCTTGCTCTTAATGTTCTCCTCAGACTTGCAGTTTGTGCTGTGTGGGAACCTGTAAGTTTATCTTGGCACCTGCTGCACTCACAGATACTCACACATGTCTGTACTGAAATAAACTGGTCACACTGAGGTTAATTTCTATTTTTCAGCCGGTGGATTTCCGGTTGTTGTAGGTTTCGGTTTGTCGCACACTTCTCGCCATTACCTGACCTGACATTTTGATGGTGCTGTTGGTAAATTAGATTTTCAGTGTTCCCCTCTCAAAATATATACACACTTGCAGTATGATCCAGTATACGATAAATACAGATCATTTGTGAGCTGTGAGTCATGCGAGTGTTTCAGTAGAATCTAAGAATAGAAATATTGATTAGAAATGAGCCTGAAGTCCCCTTCAGTTCTCACAGCTTCAGGTTTCTTGTGTTATCAAGGGGGGGTTTGGTGAGGGTTTCTGATGACTGTGCAGCATGCAGTTACAGGTCATAAAAATATGTGTTATTTGATAGAAACCTATGCATTACTTTTTTTTTATTTGTGTGGGGGAGGTCTGGTTTTGTTTGTTTGTTTTTAATGGATAAAACAAGTCATGCGTGACAAAATGCAGTAGGCTGTTTTCTATTTTTGGCATTTTTGATATCATCTAGTGAACTGGTTCTTTGCGAACTCATAAATTCTTCTGTGGGTCAACTATAATATGTTTGCAAGCTTTTCTGTTCAAAAAACAGAATTTAATATTCTACATTGTGCATCTGCAGGTCTTTCTTCCGTGCTTTGTGTCCATTTTAGCTTCTTTCTCTCAGGCGGTTTGAAAACAAAGCAAGGTTAGTTCAGTATGTACTCAGCATAGCACGTTCAAACCAGCAGTATATCTGCTAACAACAAGCAAGAGTGTTGATTTTACATGTGAATGTAGCCAAAATCACAAAACGGACTTCTCTGATAAACTTCATTCACATCCGATGCCTTCTGTTACAAAATCGCATCTTTAGGCCTAAAGAGAAGAAGAAACTAGAAACTGGTTTAAAAGTAAAGGATGGTTTTTATTATCCTTAATGGACGGCATTAATGTTGCTTTTTCATACTTTGTACAGTCGTCTTAAAACAAAAATGAGTACTGTGTGTTATAAGCCTTATTGTGATGGTTGTATTAAACCATCAGTGGTTTTCCTGTTTTTGTAGGAAGGTCACTGTTGGAATTAAGTTAATCTTTTGACTTCCTGGTTCCTTGAACACTTGGAGTAGAAAGCCTGGACCTTTCCTTGTGCTGAAATTCAAAGCCTGACGCAACACAAAGGTTTTTGTCGCACATGAGTGTCGGAGTGTTTTTGGTGCTTTGATGTTGGATAAAACAAGGTAAATGTCTACAGGGGTTTGCTCATACTACAAACTCACAGCTGGTTAGCAAAGCAGCACTCAACACTGGTGTATTGGGTTTGTTTTGAGCCTCGTATGTGTGTGTTTGTGTCTTTAGGACAAGTGGTCGAAGAAGATCAGGATCAGGGGAACGCAGACCACAGTCCAGCTGTAGCCAAGCCAGTTTGTGTGAATGGGACAGAAGGGGGGTCTCTGAACAGCAAGGCCAAAGCCGAACGCCGATCCTCATCCTCGTCCAACCCCTCACGTAAAGGAGTCTCCACAGCCAGCAAAATCCGCAAGCTCTCCACCTGCAAACAGCAATGACCCTCCTCCCCCTTTCTGCCTCAGCAGCAACCCACCTGGTGAGTGTGCAGACTGCTTCACAAAAATTGTGGCTCAATTTGTGCTTCTGAAGGACACCTTTGTTATACAGTAGAAGGTGGGAAAAGATAAAGAAGCCCTTATGGAAAGCAGGTGCTGCAGATCCAGATAAAAGGTAGGAGGAATGACAGTGCAGTGGAAGGGAGGAGGAGGAGTGAGTGAAGAGAGTCTGTGTTGATATTCAGCAAGCAGCACTCTGGATCACCACCATTCCCCTGGCAAACACACGGGCACTTTCCTATACAGTGACAAAAAAACCACATCTGGACCTATCCCACGGTGATGCATCTCCTGTTTCTGTTCGGATCCGTTTCCTTTGAAGGGTTCATCAGTCACCCTCATTCACGTGGAGTGAGGCAGATTTTTTGCTACAAGCGTACACATAAATTTAACAAGTTGTCCTCCTCTCTTTTTCCAGTTACCGCCCACAGCTGCTCTTTTTGTCTTCAGCACATACAGAGCCAGTCACGGAGTGAGGCTGTTTGTCACGGGTGCAGTGCAGGAGAGATGCTGTGTATTAATTTGTTCAGGCGATGACTCATCCTTGGATGAGATAAAGTGGGCTGTGGGATGCTTGTGTCTCTCTCTTTTTCACTCTGTGGGTTGAGTCTTTTCCACGTTAACGGCGCCAATTAGTACTTGTCTTGTAAAAAAATTCTGTCACAGCGTTTCGTTTTAAGTCGGGGAGGGGCTTTCAATACCCTCGTCAGACTTCTGTTAATATTCTGTTGTCTGTGTCCCCTCAGGGTGATCTGTCCTCGTCCTCCTGTGTCCAGAGTTCTCACAGTTGTGAGAGAAACCTGCTGACATTAAGCCCCCCCAACACCTTCACCTGCCCCCCTCCCCAAACCTCCTTGGACCACTGGCCTGCAGAGTCGTTTGAAGATCCGGTATTAGCGACGAGGAGGAGGAGGACAGCATGAAATGTTCTTTCTGCTCTGAGACTGAGGCTGTGAAGACGGTGTTTATTTTCTCCAAAATTTTGGGCTCCTTTTCAACTAAACTCATCCAGTTCTCTCTTATCATTTTCCCCCTCCCAACCCTCTCCCCTCCTCTCCAATCTTGTCATCCTCCTCAGAGAGCCAAGTGTTGCACCGGACGTTACAGACTCCCCCACCCACCTACCCACTCCTCCTCTCCACCTACCCCACCCACCCCTCCTTAACCCACCTTGTTTCTTTGACTACCTTTTGTTTTTACAGAACCCTAATGGCAGTTTTTAAGACACATTGTGATGTGTAAAAAAAAAAATTAAAGAGGAAAAAAAAACACATGTTATGAATAATTCTATATTTAAACCTCTGCTGAGCATAATTATGGTAGTGCTACCACCGACATAGAAACTGCATGCTGTACAGAGCTGGAAGAAAGGGAAAGCTCTTGGTTTTATGTGGATGCACTGACGGACTGAAGCCTTGAGATTTGTATTTTTTCCCTCCCCTTTTAGGTTTTTTTTTTTTCTTTTTTTTTTTTCCTATCAATATTTTTTAATTATTATTTATATAAAACATGTCCCAAACAGGCTGTTTTGTTGGATGATCCTTTCTGTTTGAATTTAAGTTCAGCATATTTTCATAAACACAGCTCATTAGTTTATGACCCTTTTTTATTTTTTCCTCCCCCTTTATTTCACGTGTCCTTTAAAGAGCGCACAGCTCTGACAGGAATATTAGACTCATCTTCCTCTCGTGTCTGCAGCAATTAGGTAGTCAGGGTGATGCTGCGGTTGCGGGCGGCATGCAGTGATGTTCTTTGCTGTGTGCCGATCACTTCAGCGGGTGTCCTTTCCCCCCCACCCCACCCCTCTTACGCAGGCAGGCCCATCATCAGCTCCTCACTGGGAATAGATCAGAGAGCAGGTGAGTCACCACTGTGAGGGAGGGAGAGAGCAGCGCTTCCCACGTCAGCAAGGTCGACGGAGAGGCTCTCCGTACGACGAGACAAATGAAGAAGAGAGATGTCGCGCTAACAGACCAAAGACGGGAGGGTGATTAGTACGTGAGGGCACACTTAAGGTTACTGGTCTCACTCTTGTGTCAGCAGACAGATCAGCAGCAAAAAATCATTTATTAAAAAAAAAAAATCTGAAAAACTTAAAGTGCAAATCGATTTTTCGCCTCACAAGGTCGAGCTTTTGTTGAGGCTGCGAGACGTTTTGAATTTTCTGCACACTAAAGCATACGCTTCACCCTGAATGAGGGTTAAAAATTTCATGAGATGCACATTGGAGCTCAAACAGAAGTTAAAAAAAACCCTGTGTACCTACCGTTTCATTTCCCAGTTGACAGTCTTCATCACGCATTAGAAAATGAAGTATTTCTCACATGAATGCAAAACAAAGAGTACAAACTGAAGGCAGGAGAGGAAAACCTGATAATTAGTTTTCCATATTAGATCAATTCCTTGCTGTAGCGTCTCTTCTGGTTCTCCTAAGGGAGGTGATGTACTCATGGACTGAACGAAACAAAATGTGATATATTGACAACGAACATGTCCTTAAAGATGCAAATTGTAGTTTCACAGGAAATTTTTTAAAAAAATTCCCACGAGTTTAGTACAACAACACAAAAAAAGATTATTTAAACCAAACATCGGGATTGTGTGACTAGTTTAAAATCCCTTAGCTGGATGAAAAGCTCATGAAAACCAGTTATCAGCTAAGAGAGTTTGCTGTACAGTTCATACGCGAGCATTTAATATTCTTAAAGCTTTGAGGATAATTACGCTTGTTCCCATGGACTCTCATCTTAAGATTAGCTGTTAAATTTTGCCTTAAGTATTAAACCACTTCCACCAGAAGATGTCTCTGAGACTCTCTGACTGCATAATTAAGCCGCACGTCACTTTCTACCCAGCTGGATGGGTTGCTTAGATTTACGATGGTTGTGCGATGCAGGTTAAAGTCATTGGGCTGAGATTTTTCTGGCAAAGAAGCGAGTATCTCTCAAGTGTAAACAGCGCTTTTTTTCCTGAGCGTTGGCAGGGCAGCGTTCAGCTGGAGAATGATGCATTTGGTGCTCGGCGTTGTATTTATGGCAGCAGGATGATGTCTGCGGGGCTCGGTAGCTGCTCTCATTGTAATGACAGAACAGTCCAACAGTGTGACTCACTGATGTTTATGTAATAATGTTTAGACAACAAATATGGAGCTCTGTGGCATAAAATAATCTGACTTCGCCTACCCGGCCTTCATTTTTTAGTAAGATTACTTCCATTGCTGATTTTGAGAAATGCAGTAAATCACCAAACTTTTATTTGGAAGCACACACTGCCTTTCTGACAGACAACGTCGCAGGAGCTATTTCAACCTCCCGTGCCTCACAGCATCGGCTCTCCCATCACCAAACCATCTGTCTAAAAGCCTGAGAGGCTACTGTGTCACTATTTAAGCATCATCTGTCAGTCTTCCCTCAGCAGCACTCACGCCACTCCTCCCGGACACAACCTGATTGATGCACAGGGGACAGATGGCTAACAAGAATAAAAACGGGTAAAATATGAGGATGGAAAAACGCCTGCTGACTGGATTGTGCTTCCCATCTGTTTTTACTTTTAAGACATGTTCATGAAAGAGAGGGCTGCAAGCACTGAAGAATTGTTACGCTGTTTCTTTTTTTCTTTTTCAACATGGTCAGCATTGTTCTGATACAACAGCTCACACAGACATTTAACCTCATGATGGTCGAGACAAGAAGGACACTTGAGGAGGATATGGTTTTTTAAATGAGGGGGAACAAACGCCATCATTGTCTTTCTTCCCATCAAAGTGCTTTTTTGTAAACTGTACAGTATTCACATATGATGATGTTCGGACCTACGGTAGCATGCCAAGAATTCACAGTTAAGTCTGAAAATATGTAGGTTTTCTTATGATAGGTTGAGTGCAATTCTTTATTTCTTCTTTTTTTTTTTTCCCCCATGATTACCAATGGAAGGGATTATCACTTGTCACATGGGCATCACAGTGACAGAGAATGGAAATGCTTGAGCGAGAAGGTACTTCCGTCCTTTTTTTTTTTTTAAGACATCTGAAACACGAGGATGTTTGAACTGTTGTGGACCCGTTTATCTGGGTGTGCGCTCTATAGACAACAGACTGAAAAACAGACGTTAACAAGTTACGTGGGACTGAATCCAGGTGAGGCTGTGCGAGCCACTGTGAGCACACGCTCCGGTTCCCCCTGGCTGATCTCTGTGCTGCGCAGGCCGCTGTAGAGCCTCTCTTCCACTGACACAGCCAGCTTGTCTGTCAGACTGCTCTGTGCCTGCAGGGAGACCTCTGATAGGATAGCCTGACTGCTGTTGTTGTTCTTGTTGTCAACTCTTGGGTCCATGAAGCTCTTTTGTGCAGGCACAGTGGTTACAGACTGGCGAGTTGTGCTTTCTGCTGTCTGTCTCTCTGCGGAGGCTTGGCAGCCATCGGTCTCGCCAGCTGAAGCTGCACAACAAGAGCTGCTCTTTGTTGTTGCCTCGTCTCCTTCGGATGTTTTGTTGGCAGCGCTTTGTGGGGAATCCTCTGCTGCGCCTTCGTGTGATGGATCTGCGCTCTCTGCTCTTTCCTTTGCTGCCTCCTCAGAAGCCGCGACCTCGCTGGCTTCTTCATCAGCAGCACTTGCGATGCGCGAGAGGGTGCTGTGGTATCTGGTGTCCAGAGGGTAACCAGCGCTGTCCCCTCTCCTCAGCGGCGTGAACCTCTGCCTCTCCAAAGACGGGGAGTATCTTCCCCCAGAGCTCGAGCCAGGATCGCTGTATTGCTTATGTCTTTGCCACTGTTTCCGGAGGTGAACTCTGGATCGGTGCCTGGAACGTAACGGGGAGTCCTGCTGGTCGAACCGTGGGTCGTGGCGAAGGAACTCGTTAAATAGGGCGTCCGTCTTCTCATCTATGCTGTAGTCACGGCGGCGGAGACGTGTTCGGTGAGGACTGGTGGGCTGTGGGATTGTTTTCACAAGTGGAGACATCAGCTGTGTTTGCGATTCTGGAGATTTCTGAGGGTGAAGAGATTTCAGAGGTTGATGTGAATCTTGGAGGGTGAGAGTTTGGCTGCCGCTCTGTGGTTTCTCCTTTAGTTTCTCCTCTGGCTCGGTGCTGTTTGCCATCTCATCCTCCAGCTCCTCCTGAAACAGCCTGGCCTCGATGCTCTCACATACTGAACCCTTTCTACCGGAGTTGGTGAAAAACAACCTCCTCTCTGATGCCGTTTTCCCTCGTGGGGCACCGGGAGTCCCAAACAGTCGCATCTCCTCAGGGGCCCTGGATGGAGCTTCGATGGAGGCGTAACCACTGTCCATCTGAAGGAGCTTTCTGTTCCCCCCCTCACCCTCTCCCCCAGGTCCACTTCCCATCTCACTGTCTAAACCCAATGCCCCTCTGGTTCCCCCTTCCAATCCCTCTCCCTCCCCATCTCCTTCAGGCTCATCATCCAGGTCTTGGGACAAGCAGCTGTCGAGGCCAGAACGAGCTCCTGCACCGCCAAGGGATGACACGCTGTCCGCATCGCTGCGGATGGACTCCCGGTCTGTGCTGCTCTGGTCTGAGGAGGCATACAGCTCCAGAGAGGCTCGCAAGCTCCAAATGTCTCTGTACAAGGAAGGAGGTGCCTCCAGGCTCTCCTGGCGAACCATGAAGGAAAGCGATGAGCCCGAGTCGGTCCTTTGTCTGGCTTCTGCCCCCAACACCACTTCGTCTCCATCATCTGGCTCTACCTCGTTCTTTTTCCTTGCGTCTGCCATCGCACCATCTGTTTTTGCGTCTTTCCTCAACATGTCTTCAAACCTTTCCGGAATGACAGCTTCTTGTTGCGTCCCAAACAACTCATCTTCGTCCGCTGACTCCAGCCCGTCTCCTCCCGATCCTGCTGCTGTTCCTACGACTGCCTCTTTCAGTGTTCCTGTTCCATTAACTGTAACCTCCTCTTGCCTCTGGGCGAGGCAGCGATCTGGTGGCAAACTGAACTCTTCTCTCCTGGTGCTGCTACCACCTACCTCCACCATGGCCTCCAGATTAAGCCTGCACAGATGGGAAAACTGTCAGACAATTCTGTGAATTGCATGGTGTTAAGTCATGGTATTATGGGCAGGGGTGTACCTGCTAAGGAAGACTGAAGATGTGGGTGTAGTTTGGGGATGAGAGAGAGACTCTGCAGAGAGTGACTGGAGGCCACCGGACTGGATGGGTGTATTTGGAAAAGATTCAATGGCCTCATCTCGGAGAGGAGAGGAATCGTCTTCAGCGTGATCAGTGGTTTCACTGGCTGCTCTCTGTCTCTGAAAGGGCCTTCTCTTGGGGGACCCTGTGAGAAATTCATATGATAAGAAGGTTAGACCTTACCCACGCTTTCAGTCTTATTTCAGTCAGGGCCGCTAAAGTCAAAAGAAGCATAATATTCCCATCAGCAGTAATACATATTTGGCAGCATGGCTCTGATCTGGGACTTTTCTGTCCATCCACATGCATACATGAGAGCACGATTCCCAGACGGAGCAGAGCATCAGTGACAACAGATCCTTATCTATCTATCTAAAATAATAACATTTGTAGCCACACGGGCTTCACTATCTTTGGCATGCAGACTGGACTAACCACGGGTCAAACCACCAACTTTAGTCATCATAACTGAATCCAGCGTATTTGTCAGGATTGTAACTGTGACTGATTTCGTGC